ATTGCGGCTTAAAAGCCACCACAAAGAGACAAAAGCCTGCACATCTTTATGGTCTGGAGCCATTTCACCTCCTGTTTCAGATCCTGGACACAACCCAGGGACTCTGCACACATGCAGGCACAACTATGCACATGGCAAAAAATCCGCTGACTGGCAGCAGTCTGGTCCTTTGCTCATTTTCTCCTCTCCTAAGCAGTTTGCACTTCTGCGTGAGAGAGTTGAAGAGGGACAGATTTTAAGAGCAGCACAAAGAGGTAATTAACCTTTCCCAGCAATCCCCATTGCCTGACTTCAGAGGTCACAATAGTAGCCTAAAGGCTGTAGGTTGGGTAACTCAGCAATCAGCCCTCAAGAAAAGAGGCACCAAACCAAAACCCAGCCCCTTGGTGCTTGCCAGGCTCTTTCAGGATAGGCTGCCCTGAGCAGGAGGAAAGACTTGCCCCAGTGCCTGGCAGAGCACCTTTCTCTATGCTTTTGCGCAGGTCAGGTCTGCAGCAGCCTCACAGCAGAACCCAACCACCCCACTGCCCTTATTTTCTTTGAAGGGCCCAAACAGCCCCTTCTCCAGACAGCAGAGGATGGTCTGCATGTCCATCCTACTCTTTCTGGCCGTGAGAGCCTCTAGCAAGACTTCATCAAGTCGACAGCTGTGTCTTCTACAGATGTACTTCTTCCTCTTCCCTGAGGATGACTTTCAGCAAAAGGTATTCCACAACACGCTAGGAGCAGAGCATGCCTGTCCATGCACCCACACCTCCTCTGGCAGAGGGGCTGGACTGAGCCACCACTCTCACCCTCCCTGGCTGCTCCTCCTCCCCCAACCCTGCCTGAGGGGTCAGGTTAGGGATGGGGAGCTGCCTCCGGAGGAGAGTGATAGAAACCCACAGACTTCCTCCTCCCAGCCAGGGAGCCTCCCTGCTGCCTACCTGACTCCAGCCCTGGAAGACAAGCTACAGCTCTGCCAGTTCTGCACTGCTCTAGGGAAGGAATAAGCACTCACACCCCGTTTATCACACTTGGAAGCAAATCAAACAGACAGAACTCCGCTCCACTTGTTCTCCCATTTTGTTAAACAAGAGATAGGAGGCCACATCATGTCTCCTCTCCAAGGAAAGCACAAGCAGAGTTTTTCAGATGAGCATAAGCGGTGCGCGGGCAGGGGGAGCAGCGGAGAGGGGCACACACTGCAGCGACAAGAGACACAAAACAATCTCGTGATTAGTTATTGACTCCAGAGAAGCTGAAGCTCTAGCAGCAAGCCAGCCAGGAGAACAAAAATTCCTCTTTTGTTCCACAGCCTCAGACAGACTTGGCCACACAACTCCCTGCTGTGTCACTCCAGACAATGAGAAAAGAAAGTTAATCCACTTCTCTTGTAGCAGGAGCCATCCAGCCTGCCGGAGCGATGCTGCAGAATGATATATGGGCATTCCTGAGCATCAGTGCCAGCCTCGCCTCGTCCTGGCAACCATTGCTGCTAGCGGATGCCAGACAGCTCGAGGACCTCACCGGGCACTGCCGGTATCACCAGAGATAGCAACAGCTTTGGATCCTCTCCTGCCTTCCAAACCCACCAGGTCCCTGCTCAGCTCTGCACTGGCGGCACGGCGCTCCCTGCCATGCTGTGCCCTGAAGCAGAGACCAGCTGCAGGGTTCCTCCCATCCTGATGATGTACAGGTGACCCACGCTGCCAAGCCCAGAGATTTCAAATCCACCTTTACAGAAGGCAAACTTCTGACTCAGGATAGAGCAAGCTTCAAACCACTAACCTGGGACTGAATCCATTCTTTCACCATCACTTTTCCAAGCAGCTCAAACACAATCTTTCTGCAGAAACAGTATCTTCCTCTGTATGAGGGGTCAAGTGGTAGAGAGGATCATAGCCAGAGTCTTTCGGTGTCACCTCTTCCCCTCAGGAAGGACACAGGTTACATGCATGTCAGAACCACATTACATGTTAGGCAAACCCAAACTTCTTCCTACTGCCCTTCTATGAAAGCAGAACTCATCTTTTTTACTTTGGACATGACTTAGGATTCAAGTGACCTGCTTTTGAACACTCTTCACCACCAGCTTTCTTGGTTCTCCATATGAGAAGTGAGAATATTTACTACATTTAAGATAGAAAAGGAAATTATGATTCACGGGCTCTCTGCTCTGCAGAAATGGGAATTAAGTACATGGGTACTTATAGAGCATGAACAGACATGGGTACTTGTGTCTGGAGCTTTGTAGTTCAAGGGCGTGATTTTAAAGTCAAGTCATCGCTGCATAAACCTGGACAGCTAAATAACAGAGTATAGCAAAGCACTGACATCTGCTCTGGAAAGCACTTGCTTTTTTTTTTTTTTTTTTTTTTTTTTTTTTACTCTTAGTGACCCAGGAGAGAAGGCTGTTATTTTAACATCATACTCCTGCCTGCAAGAAGCCTCGCTGAATGGCAGGCAGCAGGACTGAAATAATCTGCATGGCCCCTGGAAGCCACAGAGTTGAGAGGAAAGTGCTTCAGCATCCCGAGCAGCACAAGCCTTTGTTCTAGCACGCTCCTGCCAGCAACCAGGGCTGCCTGCCCTGCTCTGAAGGAACTTATTTCCCTCCTCCCTCCTCCCAAATTAACTCCATCTCCAGCTGTCCCAGTGCCAGCTTCCTGTTAAGATTAATTATTCTTTGTACACCCGTTTGATGATTTACCCAGCAAGCCAGGCACAATGATTAGGAATTCTGCATTCCCATCAGGGCTCTCCCCTGGGGCTCAGAAGTTTTCAGGGAAGGACTGTCACTCTGGCACAGCCATGGGAAGTGTGCCTTGCCAGAAGGGTGGTCACCAAAGGCCAGTCGTCATTTGTGATGCTGCCACAAGGTCAGCTGAAGATGATGTGCTCCTGAACAGCCTTTATTGCCAGTCAGCACGGAAACCAGCGTAGGTGGGAGCATTTATGATCCCAAAAGGTGTGTCTCCAGTTACGCTTTCCTATGGCCCAAGATTTCTACTGCGTTTAGCAAGGCAGAACAAGCTTTGTTTGTTTGTACTGTCCACCTTTCAGAAGGTGCAATTTTCAAGAGCCATGAGTTACCATGTGAAATAGTCATCTACAGGCTTGTTTGCATTTGTGATCTCAAAAACCACAACACAGAGAAGCCACTTTACCAGACTGGTCCAGCTCAGGAAATGGAAAAGCACCAAGTCTTAGTGCTGTGGGCCAGACCTGCAATGGGCAAGGACTTTGTGTCTTCTCCTGGGAGCTGTTTAATAGCCTGAAAAGTCACAGCTGGTCACAGAAGGTGTAGGTGTATATACTATATAAGCCAAGCTGATGCTACCCACCTCTCCCCACACCCCAGCAGAAAGCCACAGCATGTCAGAACTTGCTTGACCCTGCTGCTGCTGAGCTTGCAGAGCTCAACAGGGCTGACCTTTAAGATCTCTTTCCAGCAGGTATCTGCCTGCTGTCACACAAAGAAGGATGTTTCAGCAGCTACAGGAGCCTCCTCCTCTGAGGGCGAGGCATTTCCTTCAGCAGAAGGAAGGAGAGGGTACCCATCCGAGAGTTCCCTGGCCCCAATACAGAGGATTTAAACACCAGAGACCATAAGATACAGAGCAGCCGGGAGGACACACAGCAAAAATCCACCTTGTCCTCTGCAGATGTTGGCGTCACATCCCAACTTGACTTATTTGGGCAGGTTCAGACACCAGCTATGAAAATTTTCTGCCCCAGCTAGTGCAGCCAATGTTCAGGGACCTCAGCCCAAAACAGCCACCCAGGTCACTTCTACACAGAAGCAGAAGGAACAGGCACACACTGCTTACCTCAGATTTTGTCTCGATGCTTCTGCCAGCTTTCCTAGAGCCTTGCTCAGCTGCCCCAGCTTCTTATCACAATTCCTGCACTAGCATCAACTACCAGATCCAACAGCAAAACCCCTCCTGGCTCCAGGACCAATACTTAACCCAGACCCAGAAGTTTCAGAGCCAAAGCCATATGGAAGCAGAAAAAAGGTCTAGAACAGAGACACCTTCCTCCTTCCCCACAACAACGCGCTGCAGCACACTGGGAATCAAAGAAAAACTGGTGTAGATGAGAACGTGGCAGTTTCTCTCCAATACTGGAGTTGTAGAGGCAACAGCAAGGCGTAACCATGGCCAGCTGGCAGTGTGAGGAGCCAGCACAACTGAGCCCTCTGAGGCCAAACGCTCTCATCTCACCCAATAGGCACCTTCAGGAACAGAGATGAAAGTCAACGGGATGGGCTGGGGACAGAAATGAACCACACCTTGTTAGGAACGTCTCTGCTGGAAGAAGTACATCTGAGAGTACCCTCCAAGGAGATAAATGATGGATATGCAACTGTTTTGCTGCAACAGGAGTTAAACAGGCTACAAGACTGTACTTGTCCTAGATACTTTTTTTCCTCAGGAAGCTTCCAAAAAAGCTACTGCACTGGGAGAGGTGCTCGCAAAAGCAAGACATAGGCAAGCGTAGGCACTATCATCCAGGCTGACGTCTCTATTCAGGAGACTTTACATTTTATATGCTTTAGTCTTTCTCCCCCCCAATAACTTGTTATAAAGAAAGAAGCATGCACACAAGAGAATCAAGCAAGACAACCTCAGGGAAAAGAGCAAATCAGTTTGCATTTCCATGGCACCGAGCACAAAACTAACTTGCAAATGCAAATGACTTCTCTAGGGTGGGGGAGCAAGTTCCCAGTTTGGAAGATCCAAACCCAGTAGCTCCCTTCCCCATCCCTCCACTCCGATGGACTGCACCAGCCACCAACAGGCCTGGGTCTCGCTTGGAGTAACAGCCACCACACACCGCAGAGCCCTCCTGCACCCCGAACGCAGCGGAGACCACCGCCGCCGGCCCCGCAGGCGGGCGCTCCCTCCCCCGGCACACACAGGACCACGTACTCAGCCTACCTATCTCCCAAACTGGTACTTTCACAACTCAAACCCTTCATTTGAGACGTTACGAAACGGTTGCTCGCCGCGGACCGTGCTTGTAAACGGGCGGGCACGGGCACCCCTCCTGCCGTGGCGGGGACATCACATCGCCTACCCCCTCCCGGCCTCCCCCCATCGCCCTGCCATAAAACCCCCGCATTTCGGCGCTCCAGGAGCACACGGGCCCGGTGTTCGGGAGATGCCGGCAGCCCAGGGAGGCCGCAGGGTCCGGGCTCCCCCGGCCACCTCCCGGTGCCACCGCCCCGGGTCCCGCCAGCTTCGGAGGCTCCTGTGAAACAATCCCGCGCTGAGGGAGGTGCTCGGGGGGGTTGGGGGGTGG